AAGTTTGGCTGACGGCTGTTTCGGCTAATGCCATCGTCGGAGCCTAGATTGTAAAACCAAATGAGGAGTTAATAATATAAATTATAAGAAATAGAAAATAGAATATTAGATATTAAAATGAATAAATAAATGAATAACAACCTATATTTTAAAATAAACTCATTATATTGTTGAAAATAAAATAAACGAATAAATTTAAAAGAAAAATAAAAACAAAACAGCTTCGTGTTGTTGAAATTTTATTTAAAAAACTTCCAACTGCAAAATGGGGTGTAATCTTCAACCGTACATATATATATATATGTATATGTGTGTGTGTGTTATTTTATTTAATTCAAATAAACTTTTATTCAGCAAATATTATAAAGAAAGACATCACTAGGAGACCCAAAGTTTTCACTTGTGCCACCGAAATAAAAGATTGCAGAAATATGAAGACGATTAATATAAAGAAGAAAAATTTGTAATATTGGATTAACATAAACTAAATTGACAGCTTGTAATAAATAAGATTATAAAACTTAAAAGAACTAGCGTAATTAGACAATAAAAACTTTAACCATTAATGAAAGAGGAAAATGATTCGTAAAATCATTTGAAAGATTGAATTCTTTAATAAACCAAGTGTGTTTGAGTTTTTTTTATATGCATCAGTAATAAGACCCAGAGTCGACAAGAACCACAGAAAACTGAAGGAATAAAAAAGTTTGTGCGAGGTTTAGGAAAATAAAAATCTGTGTTATGTCTTAAAAGTATTGAACGATCGTAGATTAAGTGGTTTAATTAGTTGCGCAAAGGACAGAAATTTAATTTGAACAATTTATAAAATAAACCATTGAATTGTGTAGAACATGTAATTAACAAACTTTTAAAATTGTGGATGAGATAAACAAATGACAAACATAATGACATTTTAATAAGCCAAACATTGTACGAATAGCAAAATTTTGACAAAGATTTAAAATTTTAATATTAAATTTTGCTGGGAAACCTCAAATGGAAATACAGTAACTAATAAATGGTAAGTCAATATTTATGTACATTCTAACATAAACAGCTTTTTTCGAAGGCTTTGTTAGAATGTACATAAATATTTAAACGAAAATGCAAAAAATGAATTAAAATTTTGTTTGTGAACTGAACAAACTTGATAATGAACTGAAATTCGTCGTACGAAAAATTGAAAAACTCAATTGCAAATTGAACAAAACATGCAATGCTGTGATAGTTATAAACAAATGCATATCATATATATATATATATATATATATATATGTGTGTGTGTGTGTGTGTGTGTGTGTGTGTGTGTGTGGTGTGTGTGTGTGTGTGTGTTGGTAATAGACCATAATTTTTATTACAATATTCTATAAATTCTACCGAATGTTTGGC